TTTGAATTTTAAAGACACCTTTTGTTGTACTATCTGTAACCGAACTTTGGTTTGTGTTTTCTATGTTCGTAAATACTGTAATTAAGTATTTTGATAACAATGTTTTGTCTTTGAATTCAAATATTGTTGGCATGGTTTTCTTGATGCTTTTGCAACTAGAATAGACCAAAATAAAGTGTTTAGCAACCTAATTGGTATAAGTTTTATGATCCGACACTTAAGGAATTTCTTAAGAACTGCACAATTTTTCAGATGTTGAGTTTGGGGGGAGAAATAAGGGTAAAAACATTGTCCTTTGTAAGGAGGAATTAGTTTCTATTCTTATTGTTGTTTTTTGTAGTGTGCAAGTTTCTATATTTGTCACTGAAGATTAAGCATATCAGGATTTTAAACTAGACAATGTTGAACAATTCCTACTATAGATGAGGTAGTTGGTCCTAATGAGCAAACTCAACAAACTCCAGAATTAATGTCCTTTGACATGGTGCACTAGAGAAAGATCAGAAATGTCCATTTTGGATAATTTTATTAGCTTTCTTGAGGAACAATGAGAATCATATATGATACTATATAAATGCCATCAAGTTATTATCTCGTTAGGTTTTGAGATAAAAATTGTTGATAATTGTGCGTATCACAAGTTTAGTGGGAGTAAGCATAAAAGAGACTAAAGTAATTTTTTGACATCCTTGTCACTAAGAAAACAAACTTAATGTCAGTTAATGCCCGAAAACAATCTAGAAGTTGAGAAAATGGAAAAAGGTTCCTTGTTCATCTACAAGGAAACTAATGTAAGCTTAAGTATGTGTACATGTGTGGTATTGTGTACATTGTTGGGATGTTATGCAAATATTTAAATAACCCTGATATAGATATGTTTGGTAAGCAACCAAATGTGGTTAAAAGGTATCGTAAAGAACAAAGATTATATGCTCACATAAAAGAGATCATATCAATTTGAGATCATTAGGTATTCAGACTCTTATTTGATGGATGTCAAAATTGTGGTAGATCCACCTTAAAATATGTTAAATGGTATCCAATCACATGGAATCTAGCTACAAGTTTTTGTCACATGGCTGCAAATTGTAGAGGGTGTTGAAAGACCACTCGAATTTATTGTGACAGTAAATAAGCTATATTCGATTAACATTAGGAATTCATAAATTCGTAATTGTGAAGGAAAAAGTGCATAGCATACACAAATCTATAGAGTATATTTGTGACAAGCTCCATAATAGCAGATCTACTTGTAAAAACATTACCACCCCTAGGTCTTTCATCTTTCATGAGCATATCACTCAAATGGGTGTTACTGGAAATAGGAAATTATGTTTCAGTGGGAGTTGTTATGCTCTATGATTTATATGGACATGTTTATTATGTGTTTTGGATTCTGATCAGAAAAATGGAAATTAAGTTCATTATACTTTGCTTCATTACGTTAAAAGTTTTGATCTCACTAAAGTAAAGGAAGGACCAATTGGAAATCGGCATGTATAGATCACATTTCATGTAATTTCCATATTGTACATCCATGGTTTGATCTATGTCATTTAGTTATATTCGTATTTGTGACCAATGATGGGTTTAGTTGCGTTTCATTGCAACGAAAACCTCTTTGATCCTTACTAATGTAACTAATGGATCAGATTGTTTAAGTTGACTCCTTTTTACGATAGCAATTTTGGAGCGCATAAAGTCAAACACATTTGTTAGATTACATATGTGGCCCAGTGGTAGATTGTTGGAATTTTCAATAATATGGGGTCACACATGTATTAATTTAATGTGTTTTTGCTATTTAATTAGACCGAGATAAGTGATTTAATTCTGTGTACGTTTTGGTTTAACGGAGTAATTATAAAATGGCTATGGGCAAAATGTATAGATACCATGAAATAATTTCCAATTTGATGAGAGGTCAAATTGGAAATATCAAAACTTTGTAACCGACCAGAAACCACTGGTCGGTTACATAGGGGTTATGGTCCCCAAGTTAGATATCTTCACGTTAGTTTCTCTCATCCCTTCACAGAGAATCTTCTTCCTGTTTTATGAATATACAAAAGTAAAACCAGAGGAAAACGTGATTCATCTAGACTTGGAAGATCAAATCCGTCAATCGGCATTCAATTATGGATCAAAGGTACGCTTCCGCTTCTTGAGTGTTAATTCTCTTAGATTGAAACGGAAATCGATCTATGGCTTTTAAGTTTTGGGTTTCAATTTTTCCCAACATTTTTTGTGGGGCTGTCTAAAAAACTTATTTTAAAAAATGTCTAAAGTTTTCCAATTTTACACTTTTAGATTTCTGCATGTAGGATTTTTTAATAATACTGGTTTTACCCATTGCATTTATATTATTATTGTTATATATTTTTTTTTGAAATCTAAAAGATTTAAATCCTTATTTTGATTAAAGGGTCCAAACCAATTATTTCCACAATCTCTTAATTCACTCATTCATATATTAATTACAAAAAGATTATCATCATTTTAAATTCGAAATTAATTAATGTGTAGATTTACTCATGATTTCAAGTTGAAAGTATATCCTGTTCATATTTTTTCGTTATTTCATTTTTATGTTAATGTTAACATATATGCTATTTGTACTTTTGAAATCTAACTATTATTTGTGATGTAATTAACAATTTGTATATACGTTTTTAAAGTATGATATGCATCATGTATTATTGTAAAATATTAACAATTAATTATTCATGTGTATATTTTAGGATATATACACCGTGAAGACTTTTGAAATCAAATATTATTATGAATATAATATATATGCTTATATATCATGTCTCTATTATTCGAACTTATAGAGAATAATTAGATATAATTCGGTTTCAAAAGTTCCCATATTTGGATACTATGCATTAAACATGATATATTCAGATCTTTTATATTTATTCTCACTCAACCTCATTCCATTTTTTCCCCTGATTTTCTCTAATCAACCCGATTCCCTATATCCATCTAATTATAACAATTTTTTTTTCTATTATGTTTTCCCATCCTTGCCTTAATCCTTATTTCGAATTTCAAATTTATTCTTGCATAATTTTTTGGTTTGATGTTTTATTTTTAATAGTATGATAAATATATACTCCTCCAAAATATTATTTCCATATTTTAATTACCTTTTTCCTCTCATTATTTTTCTTAGCATTTTTTTTCCGTGCGTCGTTTTTTTAGTGGTATGATATACATATACTCCTCCAACCATTAGATTATATAATATATTCCAATGACCATTTTATAATATATTTATTCATTTTAATATTCTAATGATATGCAAATATAATCTTTCAGCCTCCCAGTTCTAAGTAAAACTTGGTAGATTGTATAGGATTTAGTATAAATCGGAGACACCAATTGAAGATATACAAGAATTCACACAACTATTTAAACAATATAAAATATATCCGACAATTGAGTTCCTATAACTACCAAATTGATACTTAGTTGTAGATATATTTTACATCCTCATATATACAATAATTCACACTTAATTTTTGCACCACTCAAATCATTTTTGAATCTTTAAAACTTTATTGTTAAACCTTACAAAAATAGAGAGTTAAACTCTAAAAAAAAAAAAAAAGAGAGGGAAACAAAAATCAGTGCCAAAATAGAGGGAGTATTGTTCAAAACAACACACAAAATAAAAAATCGAGAATATCCCATTGAATATATATGGGTATGAAAAATATACCAATACTTATGGGTACCATCATAAAGGGGGTTTCGAAGGGGTTAAACAATACAAAAAAACAAGGGTCTTCAACATTGTTCAAATCAAAAATAAAAAACTTGGAAGATATATTGGTATGCAAAATATATCATGGTGAGACAAAACAAACCTTCCGATCGACAACTAAACAATGTTCGGGATAAACGGAAGGCTCAAACAGTCGACAAGTGGCAATCGACGAAGAAGAAGCTTGAACGGTCTGGTCCAGAATGCTATTGCTAGCTACGGTCTGCTATGGCCTTCCGGTCGGCGACTAAACAAATCTCGGGATAAACGGAGTGCTTGAACGGTCGATGGGTGGCTGACGAAGAAGAAGAAGCTATAACGGTCTATTCCGGCGACGAAGAATAAGCTTGAACGGACATAAACAATGATGTTTGTGGAAGGAGAGCAAACGAGAGAGGAAGAAGAAACGATGGACGGACGAGGTTTTTTTTTTCTTCGAAATTTTGCAATAATGGAGGATTTTGAAGATTGGGGTAGTATTTTGGGGATTTGGTAACTTTTATTTTTGGAAAGTTATTTAGGGATTTAAAATGTAACCTTCCTACTAACCAATTTTGAATTTCAAAAAATAATTAATATTTAGGTGTAAATACAAAAGGACATAATAGTAAATTGATGATGGGTATCATAAAAAATGATGTTATTTCACACTTGAATCCTTTTACGTAATTACAGTATCTAAATAGCTTATTAATGCACTAATCCAGAAAAAACATTCACTATTCCGTACTTCATGGGCCACCCATTAAAAAAAGGAAAAAGAGCTACTTTGTAGCTTGGATGCACATTATTAATTTGTGTTTTTTTTTTTTGTTTTTTTTTTGTCTAGAGCCAATGAATTCATGAGCTTTTCTTTTTATAGACTCTATCATTATTTTTCACGCCTTCTTTTGGTATAAATTATCTCATCTCTTTTACTCCTATGCTTATATTGTTTTGGTTCTCTTTTAATTAATTGAAGAAGTTTCTTGTAACTCATTTGGTTGGCAGGATAATCACCTTTCCACTCTTTTGAAATTTCATACCTCGGTAAGATTATTAGAAAATTATTTTTTTTTATTATTATTTTTTAAAAATTTGGCCAAGAATTCAATTCTATTTTCAAAGAGAGGTAAAAACGTTACTAAGAAATTGTAAAAAACCATCATAACTTTTAAAAACAAAAAACAGTGGGTTACCAAATAACCCCTAACCTCTTTTTTTCTCTTTGGTTGGAACATCATGGGGAAAGATATAAGAAGAATAAATTATCTTTGAATTCAGTATCATAGATATGAATCCAATTCCTACAATACTAAAGAGAGTTCTTTACCCTTTAAAAGGTTAAATTACTATACTAGACTAACCTTATTGAACGTTGCGGTTACCAACAAGTAGGAAATAAAGTAAGAGAAAGTAGAGAGAGAATACAGGAGGAGAGAAAGTGGTTCATCTGTTGCAAATTTGAAGAGATTTAGCCGTCTTTTTTTTATCCACGAGTGTTCGGACCAGCTAGTAATCTTCAATGGGAATTAGCTGAAGTTTGCCTCCATATATATCAGGGACTTGGCTCTCATCAATGTCACTAAGCAGCGTGGATCGAAGCTTTTTATCCTCCACAAAGCTTATCTACAAACATATAATACAAAAATTTTCAAAAAGTGCTTCTAAAAGTTTTCATCAATCAAAAGCACTTTTAAATGAATTCAAACGATGTATCCTACACTGCACTTGCACTCCACTTGGTGATTAGGAGCTCCCTAATTTATTTTTTTTCAGTTGCATAATGTTCGATACGAAATTCATGTCGAGTACTTACCATTTTGAGAGACATGCTGGGGATAACTTTCGAGAGTGGTATTTTTATGTACGACACTCTTCCTAATGAATTTTCTCAAAAGTAATTTTAGAATTTTTTAAAATTACTTTTGTTTAGGCTAAAAGTACTTTTCACCGTCCCAAAATTACATCAAACTCATACTAAAATACTGCATATGTTTAGAATCTCAACAGAAGTCAATTTTAGGATCAAATTCTATGGTATTACTTATTAGGTGACTAAATGGTAGAAAATGATGTCCCAATGCACACAAGAAATTTTACCTTCTTCTTGGTTTTCTTGTCAATAAATGGGTAGACCATCTTCCATGCCGTCATGAATATGTATGGAACATGGACGATATATAACTTTCCCAGCCTCTCTGGGTAACAATCCTGCCATCAAAACAATCAAACTACTGTTACACCATCTCATGTGCAATTATATGATCTTACTAGCAGTGAATCCACTGCTATTTTTAATGTCTTGTGTTACAAAAGAGCGAGATGGTGCATCCCTTTAGCATCCACTTTTTAAAACAGTCAAGTTCAAGCAGAAGCAGAGGCTTCGAACATTGCTTTAAAGGACTCCTGAATGTACAAAATGTCAAACCTGCAAGATCGATAGAGATGCTCGATATCCCCGAATGTCGCTATTAGAGTATCCCCATCCTTGAAGGTCGCCGATACACACAAATTTTTCCTGCCCTCTTGGCATTCTGAAGGAACAAATCAGACTTAAATCACTGTTTTGCTTGAAATCTATCACATGAGGAGGATTAACCCTTTTTTCTCACAAAATGGAAAAGAGGAAAAAGAAATAAAGGTATTCTTGTTGACCCTGTAATCTATGTTGTAAAAAGATATTTGGGGATAATCACGGTCGATGAAGATCAAACTTTTTCAAGATACATATTTAATGTATTTTTTTAGAACTCAAAGGACACAGAAGTACAACCTATAGAACAGATCCTATTCAAGTAAGTTCGTTCTCCTATTCAATGTACTATTTTGCATTGGAACCAAATAAAAAAGCAGGCAACTGATGAATGAGTGGAGCATGAATTACCTGGAACATATTTTCTCTAGAACAAAGATTACATAACCTGCAAAAGGATAGAAGATAAATTGAGAAGCCTGATCTGTAATTTCTAAGTGAAACAAATAAGAGAGTGCTTCAAATTTTGATTCACATAAGCTCAAATTCAAAACATACGAATAAACTCTTCCATATTTCCTTGTTTGTGCCTGCCCCCAAAGCCAACTACAATAGGACGTCCCTTCTTATCAACACCTTGCATAAACAACTTGTTGTGCGCGATATTGTTTGATATCTCAGACAATGATATAAATCCATTAGGAATAGCTGATCGTCTCCAGGTCAGGTACTTCAGAAACATGGCAGAAGCCTTCTCTATATCTAAATCTCGAGCTCGAAGGAACCTTCGGATCATGAAATCATCCACATCCTACAAACGAACCACGATGCACAATGTGAAACAAGATGCTTAACAGCCCAAATTTACCATACAGATGAATTAATCGCCATGGTTTCCATTTCACAGGATGTTCTTATGCAAAATTGCTCTTGCTTTAGGTTTGGGTGATTCTTCTAAAATATGGATAGTCGGCAAATCTGCAAATTATATCTATATACTTTGAAAATGGCTTAGTACTCTATGATCTAATTTTCTGTGGGCCAATTGTATTGGAAGGAATGGCCAATTACAGAATAACAAAAGGACAATTCAACCTCAGAATTTAACAAAGTTAAAAAAACGTGTTGATCCCATGAATATGGTTGTACGGGACACCTGATGAGCAAAAAAAAATATAAACGATGGAATTTGAACACTGGACGCAAGATAAAAAGAATCGTCGAGATCTTTCAAGTAAGAGCCATAAATTGAAAAAGAAAAGACGATAGCTCGGATTTGAGCAAACCAAACGACTCTGATTGAAAGAAGACAATCGATCGCAACAAAAGTAATGGTGGAAGGAAATTGAATTTCCGTACGAAGCATTGAACACAAGTGAAGAGAGAGTAGTAACCTTAGCAGAGGGATCTTCTCTTTCAACGAAAGCTCTCATGAGTGCGACCTTCCTTTTCTCGAGCTCATTGCTGTCTAAGCCATCTTCAAGCACAGGCGAGACAGAACCATTTTGATCTTCTACGCACTCCTCGAACTCGTCCTCCTCTTCATCCTCCGTCCACTTTGACTTCTCCATTGACGTTGCTTTGTTCTCTACGATCTTCGACTGCGGAGTCGCCATGGACGGAGACTTTGTTCTACCAGATTTCTCTCCTTCGGTCTCTCTCCATTTACAGAGAAACGAAGAAACAAAGAGAGAGGAAAACGACGACTTAATTAAATGCTGGAGTTGATTCAAAAATAAATAAATTAAAAATAAATGCTGGAAAATACTTTGGCCAACCGTTTTTCATCTTTGGCACACTTAAATATTTGGCGAGAAAAATATAAAAGGTAAAATAAATAAGGAGTTGTTAATTTTTAAACGATGATCAGGACAATATTCGATCTTCACTGATAATAAGTATTTTTCTTAAATGCCTAGCGGGATTCATCAACGAGTTTTTATTATTATTATTATCCACAAATATTATGATAAAAATCTAGTTAACTAAATTGAAAATAAGGTTAAAGAATACTTATGATATGATCTATATATTATGATTGAAGTAATAATTAAAAATTTTTAAAGTAGAGATTAAATTGTTATAAGTTGCTAAGTATAACTCAACTAATTAATGCACCTAACCAGCTAAAAGTTCAAAATTAAAATAAGTTTTCTTAAAATAGTAAAAAAAGAAAAGTAAAAATCTATTGGTATAAAACAATATGAATGGAAATGGTATATGACTTTGGATGGTATTTACTTAAAATGGTCTAAAATTGAAATACGTTTTCTTTCAATGATATTTATTTATTAAGGAGTCTAATTAAATATTTTTTGGGTTGGGATTCTAACATTCAATCTCAAAATGTAATAAATATATTCTCCATGAACTACGGATGGATATTTTATATATATATATATATATATATATATATTAGTACATTTTAAAAATACAATAATTAAATATTCCCGTTGAAAAACGCATATTAATACATTTTTCTTAATTAACTTTTTTATTATCCGCATAGAATAATGTCATGAATTAATTTTTTATTGCATGTGTTTTTTGTTTTTTATTTTTTTTAAAGTTTTACTGTATATTATAAATTTAATACGTACTCTAAAAAATGTCAATTTTTTTTTTATTTGGCGTGTTTAACATCACATTTGAGTTTTTTTTTTTTTGAGTTAGATTATGATTCTTTTTCATTTTTAAAAACTTTCTATTTAAACTTTTTACTGTATTTACATATTCATTTTATCATTTTCTATCATCCATCTTCGTTTTTCTTCATAGAGATATTGCTTGAATCATTGAGCACGTTATTGTTTTTTATTTATATTTTTTAAATTTTAATTTGATTCCTAAGCTTGAAAATACTATTTCAACCCCCAACTTTCAAAATGTTATTTTAGTTCCTTTGGTAAAGTTTTAGTTTCTTGTTTCTATTTCTTCATTTTTAATTAAAAGAAAAAACAAGAATTGCATGACCTTTCAACACCCATAGATTCAACAATGATAAAGTAATATTTTTATTTTTTTTTAAACAAATTGTAGATCAGAACAAGAAATAAGAAACTTGTTTTTGTAATTTCCAAAATTTTTAAACAATTTTGAAAATGTTTCTAAAAGAATGAAAAATATAAATAGTTTAATAAATTTAGAAATGAGAAACAAGAAACGAGAACGTTATGAAACGAGCCTAAACTTTCGACAACTATTTTAGTTCTTGCAATCGTTCTACTATCCCATGCATATCTCACTAACCTATATATGGCTGCCTCTAATAGACTAATATAGATATTCATATTAGTAAGTTTTTACATATCATTAGAAGCTTTTTTTATCCAAATGTTTAAATTAGTAGCTTTGAAATAAGAGAGAACCAAAATAATTTTTTATATTAATTATAATAGATATTTTGAAAATGTAGAGACTAAAATAAAATAAAAGGACATTTTGCGAGTAGCAAAAAACTAATATCTATTTGCAAAATTAGCATCCACATTTTGGGTGTGTTTGAGAGTGATTTTGGCTCTTCCTTTTATTTATTATATTTGACATATTAAAAAATTGATTTTGAAATGTTTAAAATCACTACAAAATTGATTTTTAAGAGCTCGTTTGGTAACATTCTCGTTTCTTGTTTCCATTTCATTTTTTATTAGAAAAACAAAATTGCATGCCCCCAACACCTAACAATGATAAAACAATATTTTTATTTATGTTGGAACAAATGGGAAATGAGAACAAGAAGCAAGAAACTTGTTTTTGTTGTTTCTAAAATTTTTATATAATTTTGAGAGTATGTCTAAAAAAATTAGAAACAAGAAACATAAATAACTGTCAAATACTTAGATTTCGTAAAAAAATTGAAAACGAGAAACAATAAACCGGAACGTCACCAAACAGCCTTAAGGTATCACTTGGATGGTGATTTTGGAAAATCAATTATACTTAAACCTCTTTTTTCAAAATGACTCATTTTACGGTCACTTCAAAACACATACTTCAATTTTACAATTAATAGAAACTCGCCTGGAACAATTAACCAGCACTACAATAAATTTGACCTCTAACGTGGTCAATTTTTGGCACGTCATTGTTTCAACATGTATATCCATAAATAAATTAAATTTACTTTAACTCATTAGTTTAAGTTTTAGGGTTCATTAGTAATTTAATTATGTTTTTGTCAGGTCGTTTTAGACTCTGCCGTGTCAATTTTCCATTTAAACAAAGAGTAAAGGTTGAACTATTTTCTATAATTTAGCCTAATATGAAATGATTGTTGAACCAAAGGTCAACCTGAATCTAGTGGCTTTCTCTTTCACTATTGTTTCGCTTTCACTGCACCCCATCCAATTTTCACCCTACACTTTTGTGGTTCACAAACATCCGTTTTTAAATCAAAAAACAAAAATTTCTCCCTACCAGTTAAGAACATAATGGTTAGGAGTTGAAGATAAAACTTTTTTTTCCTTCAATTACAAGAATTATTCTGTGAATCTTGAATTTCATGGCCTAGTAAGGTTGAACTGTATAACTTAAAGTTAGGCCTATGAATACTCCTCTTGTTCGTTACTTATCATATTAGTATTGTATTAATAATGATACGGAGTCTATCAATATTTAAAAATTAATTATCAAGGTAAATTTTTACGGTAAACTAGTTCCATCAACAAACTAAAAATTTTAGACAAGGTGATTAATGACACGCGACAATGGATGCATAAAGCAATATTAAATGTAAGGATGGACAGTGAAAGAGAATATTTGGAAATGTTTTGAGAGAGGGAAAATCCCACGCATTAGTTTAAAAAGAAGATAAAAGGAATTTGAAATTATTTTTTATTTTTTCAAAAATTTTCAGTTCCAAATAGGTTGGATTTGGAAAGATTTGAAATTAAAATGTAACGAGTTCCAAATTTACTTTATCTCCACCTTAGTTCCATGTAATTCTTTTTTGAATTTTTTCTATACAAATTGTCAAACATACTATAATTGTTTTCTATTTTATCCTTCTACGTACATCTTTTTGGATCACCATTTAATTAAAATCCAAGGTGATTTTTCTATTTTGTTTAGTGCATCTCGATCAGTTTTCTTTTCTTTTTATTTCAATTTTTATAACATTAATTTGGGTCAAAAGAATTTAGGTTCCAAATAGGATGGATTTGGTTTGATGCATTTAAAATTTCTCTTTCGTTTTTTTAACTATCTTTATATTTTTATATATTTTTTATTAGTCGAAGTATTGTTTTGTAATTCTTTTTTTCATATTATTTTAGTATAACATTTGTTAGGTTCATTAGTTTTTTTTTAAGAAAATAAATAAAAAATATGAGGAAAAGTTGATTTACAGTTTAAGTTCTTTTAGTTATAAACATATTGATTAATTTCATTTATGTTTAAAAAAATATATTTTAATGGAAATACTTACAAAATTTTTGGGCTTTTTCTTTTTCTAAATTTCATTGGAAGTTTTATTTTATTGAGTTGGTTTGATTAAATTATTACATTTTTACTTGTGACCTTACTATTTCATATTAAAACATTATAATATTATTAATATAATATCATATAAAATTATAAAGACATAATAGTCTAATGTTATACTTTATTTTCAATTCTCGTGAATATCCAAACAAGAAATTTAAATTTCAATGATTTAGAATCAATCTGGTTTCAAACGCAATCTGTAATTCATTTAAAATTGTGAAATTTAAAATCATTTCTACCCAGTGCAGATGTCAAACGGACAATTTGGTTTTTTTACAGATTCAATTTAATCTTAATAATTTTAAATATTCTATATCGTTTTAAAATTTTCAATTCATTTGATATTATAACTTGAATTTAATATTTCAATCAGCTCTTTATAATTTGGTTAAACTTAAGAAGCTATTTAGTATTAGTTTTAACCCATTTAAAAACTCACGCATTTCTCTTCAAATTTACTAAACACAGTCCACCAAAATGGAAAACAACATTTCATTTGCAATAATGAAAAACTTGTCACATATTCAATATTTTAACCAGACAGGTCACGTATCACCTCTAACAAATCATAGAGATCAAGTTGAGAATTTTAAAATTATAGGAATTATAGGGACAAAATTGACAATTTAGCCTAAATAAAATAGTAAAATTTTCAAAAATCATCTTTTAAGTTTTAACCCTAAGATTGTTACGATCATACACTCAAACTTTTAATTTGATCCATCATCCCTCGAATTACAACTCGTGATTTTACAAAAATATACATCACTCTGAACTATAAGGATTGTTACACAAACCTTTGAATCTTAGAATTTAACACAATTTTTTTTAACTTTATAAAATTTGAAAACTAAACATTTAATCTTAAAAATTTTGGTTTTGCATATCAATGTTTAGCCGACAACTCATATATGAGAAAATAAAAAATTCATGTAAAATAATTGAGCTTGATTGTACGAATAAGGTTTTATTGTAACATTACTCATTTCAGGGGTGGCTTGTACCTTTTTCAATATTTAATTGCAACCATTTCGAAAGTTTTTAGAGGGATGGTTAATCAAATTAAAAATTTAAGAGTCTGATTGTAACAATTTTTCAATTCTCTCAACAAAATATTCTCTATTTTTTTTTTCAGAGTTGAACAAGAGTGAAAATTTGAACTGATAAGAAATTCTCAGTCGGTTGATAACAAAATGTAGTTGTCTGGATACGACTATGACCTCACCT